GAGCAAACACCAACCAGCTCCAAGACAGACCTGTCACTGGCCAAGGCCAAGCCCAAGCCCAGCAGCAAAAGTGGTTGTGCCTCTGGGATAAGAGTTAAGAAGGGGGTGCAAATGTGTTGCTGCACAACAGTAACTGCAGCTGGAGAGAGGAGGGAGAATATACGAGAGGAACAACTGTGCAGACACCAAGTGCAGAAGCAGAGGCACTGAAGCACAGATGTCCCTGTTGCCCACAGTGCAGACCATGGTGAGGCAGCTGCCCCCCTGCAGCCCATGACAGTCCATGGTGGAACAGAGATCCACCTGCAGCCCCTGGAGGACCCCCCACTGGAGCAACTGCAGGTGCCCAAGCCAGCTGTGACCCCATGGGAAGTTCAAGCAGTCTCCTGGCAGGACCTGTGACCCCATGGAGAGAGGAGCGAGCCCACACTGGAGCAGGTGTGCTGGCAGGACTTGTGACACCACAGGGGATCCATGCAGGACCAGCTTGTTCCTGAAAGACTGCACCCCATGGGAGGGACCCCATGCTGGAAGAAGGAAAGAGAGTCAGGAGTCCTCCCCTGTGGAGGAAGGCACAGCAGAGACACTGTGCAATGACCTGACCGCAGCCCCCATTCCCAGTCCCCCTGTGCCACTGGTGAGGAGGAGGCAGAGAATTAGTGAAGAAGGGAGAGGTGGGGGAAAGGTGTTATTAAGAATTTGGTTTATTTCTCAATATCCTATTCTGATTTGACTGGTAACAAATTACATTCATTTCCCCAATTTGAGTCAATTTTATCCATGACAATAACTACCGAGTGGTCTCTCCCTGTCCTTATGGCCCATGAGCCTTTTGTTCTATTTTCTCTCCCCTGTCCAGATGAGGAGGACAGTGATAGAGCAGCTTTGGTGGGCACCTGGCATCCAGTCAGGATCAACCTGCCACAGCTACATATGCCTGTACAAGTATGACAGAATACAAACTTAAATATCCCTGTATACTGCACTAAAAATAGCCATGTAACTGTAAAGTCTAAGAGAAAAAAATGCTGCTTTTGTTTTAATTCATCAAAAAGCACTAACATACAGATAATGAATTCTAACAATCTTTTATAAATTGCAAGTAATGGAAAGTATGTCACTGTAACTGTAGCTTTCCTCTAGGGAATCCCTCTAGAATCATTTCTTACCTGGTCCTAGTCAATATGCAACTGGTGAAGAGATGGAGACATGCCAGAAACATTCACCATACATAAAGTGTAAGTCATCTTTCATTACATATCAGACAACCCAATGGTTGTACAATGCAGCTGACAGACCAAAAAAACCCCAAACCAAACAAACAGTGATGGGTCAATGCTAGGGCAAAGAAAATCCTTTCAACAAGTTCACAGCCATAACACTAATCTTCGATTTATATGGATCAGTTTTGTCACAGATTAACAACATCACCAGCAACACCAGTCTCTGCAACCAACATTACCACAGTTATAGATGACCTCGTAACATCCTTGTGTTAACAACTTAGTCTCAAATACAAAAACCTTCATCAGCTCCCCAGAGACTGCAGCAATACAGCATAAAACAGTCAGCTTCAAAAAAATACAAAGTAATACAGAATGTTAAAGTGTTTTCTTGTGACTAACACAGAATACCAAGAGCACACAGATATCCTTTCATCTCTATACCAGCTTCCCCACACCATATCTATTCAAGTCAAAACTCTTATATTCTACATTCTCTATGCCTACATCAATCCACAAAAAAAATCACATTAAGTTTGAGAACGTAAACCAGGACTTTATCTCCCAAGTGCAATGAAACTTCACCATAAATACAGGTGCCTGCTGTGTAGGATTATTGCTACAATTTTGCCAGCTTCTTCCTCAAATGCTAAGCACCTTCAATCTTCCTTCTTAAACATCACTTAAGACTGTACACAATGAAAACAAAAAACAAAAAAACAAACAAACAAACAAAAACAAAACAAAACAAAAAAACCTCCACAGTTCTCAAATCCTAGAGGAAGACTCATAGTCCTTCAGGGGCAGAAAGGAGAAAAAGAATATACAATACACAATAGAATTATATCACTTAATACAGTTCAGTCAAGTGTTCAAACACATTAATAACATGACACAAAACCTCCATGGGATGGACTACAAAGGAGATTTCTGATACTACAGCTAAGCAGCCACCCAGTCTCACACTCCACCTGTGCTGCCAGGGCTGGCTGATGCTTCTGGAGCTTGGAGCACAGGTGGCATCAGTACAGCTCTACCTGCAAGATGCTACGCAAACCCACCCAGAATATAATGTTGAAAGGAGAAATTCTGTGTGTGGACTCCGTGTATTTCACTATTTCCATATTTGCAGGTCAAACGGAGAACTTCCACTATGGACTTTTGGCTTGTCTAGTTTGGAGAAAAGATGGCTGAGGAGCAACCTCATTGCTCTCTACAGCTTCCTGGGGAGGGGACCTGAAGAAGGAGGTGCCGGCCTTTTCTCTCCGGTATCCAGGGATAGTATGAGTGGGAATGGTTCAAAGCTATGCCAGGGGAGGTTTAGGCTGGACATTAGGAAGCATTTCTTTACTGAGAGGGTGGTCAAACACCAGAACAGGCTTCCCAGAGAGGTGGTCGATGCCCCACACCCCAAGTTGCACAGTCTTGGCCAAAGCAGCTAAGTTTTTAATTGCAAGGCTAAACAAAGTATTTGAAAGAGGGTGTGGCACATACATAATCAAACTGAACTGTATTTGGCTGAAACAAGCAGTTAAAATCATAATTTATTTACAGCTTATTCTTCTAGCTGTAGTTTCAATGCTTTATTCACACATTTAGATGGTGGTCTGTAGTCTGGCATGTTGCTGGCTCACTGTCACAAAGGTACAGGTGTTACAGAGCAAGGCCAATCCATCTCCTCCTTCTCCATGATCAGCATGTCAAGAGATATCACGTTCACACATGCTTCAGCAACACATTTTTAGCTTTCACTTCTTCTCCAAAGTCATTGTTTATATAAGTACCATTAATTAAACCCATTTTACCCCTCAAGAGCTTCAGCTCATCCCTGCTGCCATTCGCTGTTTACTTCACTTGAAGCTCTTGCAATAATCAAGACACTTTTATCCACATCTTTGTCCTTCTTTCTGTTGTCTGGACAATGCACAGAGGAAACTCAGAAAGGGTAAGGAGTTCAGAGACAAGACTGGGGTCTCCAGGAAACAGTAACTGTGACTAAGGAAAAACCAAAAGACTAAGGCAGGAGGAAAAGGACATGGCTCTAGCACACCATCACAGTACAGGACTATGGTGGGGCAACGAGAAAATGAGGGTAAGGCGAGGCCTAAGTATGAATAGGACCTTAAGGAAGAAAATCAAAACTGGAAGAAAGCAAAAGCAAGGGAGCCCTGGTCATAGAAAGGGAAGAGGGAGCAAAGACTAGGAGGGTGTAAAAGGTGGACATGAATCTAGTTTGAGGCTGTCAGTTATCTGAAATACAGACTGAAACTGAGAAGGAATGGAAGTGCAGACAGAAATAACACTGGTGGCAATTGGGCAGAAGGTAAAAAGCTTCAGAGGGAACAAACAGAAATCTGTGGATATAAGAGTATCTTGAGTAGAACATAAAAACCTCAGATTTCCTCAGGCTTCCTCTACTACCACAAATAACTGTGAAACACTTCATTAATCCATCCAAACACCATCTACTGCTAAACTCTTAGGGGGTAACAACCTGCCCTCAGCACCAGCCCAAGTGCAGATTTAAAAGTTTCACCTTTGTTGATGAAGAAGATTGAAATTGAGAAGTCTGCTCTGTTCTTCCTTGGGTAAGACTGAAGAAGCCTGTTCTCTCTAACACTGCCTTTAGTTAAAATCAGAAAAAATGCAGTGTGGGGGGGAGGAGGTAGATCTCATGGAAAAGATCACAAATGTAATTTTATGGACAGGTCTGATTGCTGCAGATAGATCCCTCCTAGCAACTCAGAGCTGACAAGTCACATATCATTTTTTTCTAATGGTGACTAATTATATGTTCATTTAACAGGTACTCAACTTGACACCTCTGCTTAGGCCTCAAAGCAGTCACTGAGCCACTAAACTCAAGTGTTATAAAACACATCAGTTTTTATGTACTCTCTCTCACAATTGGGAAACATACAAAGAGGACAGAAATATGACATTAATATCTATGCTTGAAAACTAAATCATCCCTAAGTCAGAAAGTGACAGAACAAGACAACTTGTGCATTCTTCATTTAGTCCTAAACTTGCATATGCATTCTGTAAGCCTGTATCCTCAGAGACTGTATTAAGCAACCTTTTTCTCTTAGTTTTGAAAGTACAGTCCAGTGCCTTATTAAATATATGTTATTGAAACTTTGCCTTTGACTCAGTATGGAGGAAAACAATCTGTGACAAAACTGTTCTTACAGAACGACTGTGGACTGAATTACTAATGCCCGTCAGCTTTCAGGTCTGTAATTCCCTAACTTTCCAGTGCTTGTCTTTTCAAGTCTTAAAACGTTCCGATTACCTCTGTACATTTAATTTGCCTAGGACTGGCATTTTAAAGCCATACTGTGTGGCAGGGGAGGCAACCAAACTAAAGGCAGCAAGTAGGAAAAGGAATTACAAACGCTGACGAACACAAGTGCTGGGGGAGCGCTCTCTTACGTGGCAGCTGGCGTGAGGGAACACCCGTGCACGCCGGCACGGCCGAAGGGACGGCGGTTCTGCACCACGGAACCGCAGCCTTGGCAGGAGGGGCCGCGGCCCGGAGAGCCCCCGGGCCGCCCCGGAGGAGCCTGGAGGCGACAGCCGGGCTCGGAGCCGTCCCCGGCCGCCACAGCCGCGCCGGCCCGCGGCTCTCCCAGCCCACACCCGTGTGGGAAAGCGCTGCCCCGGGGCTCTCTGCGGGCGGCTCCGGGGCCTGCTCGCTGTCCCCGGGTCCCGCCGGACGCTCTGGGGCGGCGGTGAGGGGCGGGCAGCCCGCCCTCCCCCCAGGGCCTCACTCACCACTTCCCGGGCGCGGCCGGTGAAGTCGCTCTTGGAGCGGGTGGCACCCCGCTTGAGCAGCTCGTCCCTGGCGCTGTCCCCCGCCGCCACCCCCAGCGCCTTGTTGCGGGTCTTGACGGTCTTCACGCTGGCCTTGAAGAGCAGCGTGATGTCCACCGCCATGGCGCCCGCCGGTGCCTCCGCACGCCCGTCCCCGCGCAACGCGGCCCCGCGCGGCGCGTTCCGCCCTGCGCGGCGGGGCGGGAGGGGGCGGGGAGGCTCCCGCTTCCATCGGGAAGCGCTCGGGAGCGGCTCGTGCCCGCGGGAACCGGCGACGCGAGTGCGGACACTGGGGGCTGCCGCCTCCTCCGGTCTAATAGCTGCTCTGCGGGGAATCAGAGTTATATTCCAGCAAAACTCGGGCGTGTAGGCCGCCCCGCTGCGGTGCCGTGGCAGGTGTCGCCAGTGGTGCTGTTACCCGCGGTGTCCCAGGCTCGGCAGCTTGGTCGTGGAAAGACAGGTTAGTTAGAGTTGATTAATACACGTTAGCAGATCTGCACTGGGTCGGGAATTGGCGCTGGTGTGAGACTGCCCTGGGAAATGGCCACAGGTGCGATCAGACAGTGATTGTTTCTCTGTGGTGACCGGTGACAGGACACGAGGGAAGGGCCTGAAGTTGTGTCAGGGGAGGTTTAGGTTGGACAGTAGAAAAAATTTCTTCATCCAGAGAGTGGTTGAGCACTGGAACAGGCTCCCCAGGGAAGTGGTCACAGCACCAAGCCTGGCAGAGTTCAAGGAGCATTTGGACGATACTCTCGGGCACATGGTGTGACTCTTGGGGATGGTCCTGTGCAGGGCCAGGAGTTGGACACGACAATCCTTGTAAGTCCCTTCCAACTCAGCATATTCTGTGACTCTGTCTCTGTCTAAGCTTTTGACCCAATAACTAGTGGTGGTGTTTTTAGAGAGAGAGAGAGATGTATGTATATGTAAGTGTGTATATGTAAATATATATATCTATATATGTATATATGCCATCTAATGCTCTGGGATCCAGCAGACACCATGTAGTTTTTAACTGTCCTTTCACTGACCAGAAGCACATTCCCTGAGATAGTTTCCAAAGAACACAATTTCAAAATCCTACCTCGCCTCAGTGGACTGGAACTTAATCAACCACAACTATTTTTCCTATCTACTCCAGGGTATAAGGCTTTCTTCTCTGGTTAATTACTATTCTGCTTTCAGTTCAATTCCCATCAACTCAGCCTTGGCTATATATTAGTGGTTCCCTCATAGTTATATTGCAATTAGTATTCATTCATACTTTGTTATTACTGTTCTATTTTAAATTGTGTTTTTATTGTGGTATAGATATGTATTTCTAATTAAAGGAATAGACTGTTTGAAGTCCCTGTCCTCGGTGCTGGATTTACCATGAGACTATATTTAAAGTATTAAAAAAGTGGACAATGAAGGAGATTAAAGTTGTCATTCTAGGAAGGTCAGCAGTATTTGATTGAACCTTGAGCCAAATGCTTTGCTCTTTCAAGATTAAGAAATTCAGTGTAAAGATACTTCAGCAAAGGACATGTTTAATAAAGCTGTGTGAAACTCACACATGGTAAATCAGATACTTTCAGTTATGTTTCCTAAAATTGGTGGGTTTTTTTCCCTTGCATAACAAAGCAAACACATTTAATCAAATTCCAAGAGTGTTTTGATTACACTGATACCCTTCACTCTTAAACTCCTTGAAGACTCTTCTGAGACGTGTTTGTGAATGCTATATGTTTCAGGTGCTGTGGTTTTGTCAGTAAGTAATAACTTATTCCACAAACACAGGCACTTGCACAGGTAGCTTTTTGCCAGTAGAAATAAGAAGTTCACTGCTCAGCCCATGTAGTATGCTCCTGAAAGTGTAGGTGATACCATTAACCTCTGGTTTTGTGCACCTTCAACTATGTAGTTTGTTCCAACATTTAATGAAGCAAACATTTACACTCCCTTGAAGTATTCCCATTTAAGTAAGTGGCTATTGGATAAGAATCTACAGAGTTTTTCCTATTAGAGTGCTGCTTTTTGACATTTAAACTGTAGAAATATAAAAGTTATTTAGAAATTTTGAACTTCACCTTCCCATCCTGCTTTTAGGAAAAAAACACTTATTGGTGCCTATGTGAAGTAATAGTTTAATAGTTTTCTAATGAAATTTAAGTTCTTTAAAATAACTGGAATACTCTAAACATTTTTGGAAGAAAAAAGAAACTACAGTTTATTGAAGCAAAATAAATTTTAACAGACATGCTGTAGTGTACCTTCCAACTTTGCAAAGATTTATGCACATGTTAAACTACTGAGAATACTCCCTCTGAGGTCAGTGGAACCACACATGGCACACACAGTTAAGCACATAACTCTTTCACTGGATCGGGACCTTACCTGGAAAGTTTTTCAGGAACGAGATCATGTCTTTATTTCTACTTTTACTTATTTATTTGTGCTTTGTGTATGTGACCAACAGTTACTGAAAAAACACCCCAAAACAGCCATAGTAATAGTAATAGTACACAACCAATTTTGAACCTCAGCAGTCTTAAAACTTCCATTCCGGGCCCAAGGAGATAAACAGAGACACATTTTAAAAGGAACAGAGTATTAAAATTCCATATAGCTGATCTCATCTGTCAGAAATAGACTGAACAGTTAATCTGGCAAAGGAAAAAGTTAAAGTACCTTTTTAATGTGAAAGAAGGTTGCTCAAGTGGTCTAACTCATTAGGTATATAATACCCAGGGCCTCTGCTGTAGAGATAAATAGATAGCTTTGAAGATTACAACTGCTTTAAAATCAGTTGCTAAGAACTGGTGCCCAAAGCTTTTATTTGAACTTGATCCTAGCTTCCTGTATACAGTAACTGCATCTGCTCAGTAGTTATTTGCACTTCCACAGCCACCTCCTTTGAAAGCTTATGGCTTACTTTGGAGCAGATAGGTTTCAATAGTACGTGCTCGAGCTTCCTGTAATTGCTAAAAAAACTGATCTTGAAATTTAAGATTTTAAGGTTGGAGTGAAATCCCAAAACCACACACAAAGGACTACAGTCCCACCACAAGCAATGCAGGTAAGGCTGTAAGACCACATGCACTGTGCACTCTCTTGTGCCTCAGCGGGAGCATGTCTGGATGAGAAGAAATTAGGACTTTGCAAACTACAACAGTTTTGTGTGCAGTGTGAGAGCAGCTTGGTGATCATCAGGTCTTGGTGTACCTTCTTAACAGGCACGTCCTGTAAAATGTCCTGGGCAAACCTGCTAGTGAAAAGGAGTCGATGTTTCCCTGTGGTTGTCAATGAATGTGCCCAGTAAAGAGGGGCCAGTGGGGTTTGTCTCCACTCAGAGACAGGTAACTCCTCAAATTTCCTTTGGTGTGAGAAGTAAACACGAGCGATAGAGCTCCTGAACGTCTTCCCTTCCAATGTGACAAAGGTCCATATTTGGCACAGGCAATATCAAAAGGAAGTCAGTTTGCTCACAGTGCACATTTGTGATCAACACAAATCAAAAAGGGAGGAACTGTATTTGATGACAGTTTAAACTTTTAAACCAACAGCATGCATGCTTATTGACTTGCACTCAAAGTAAATACAACTTTGTGGATGTGTAAAGAAATCTTTGGTGTTTAAAAGTAGAACTGGAAGACAATTCAACGTGTACAAAGGAAGTATGGTCACTGTATACACTGAAACAAAATTTTGTGGAAACAATGAATATGAACTGCATAAGCAACTTCTGTTGTGTGTGGCAACAAATATTTACTGCTAGAAACCAGTTCAATTGGCAATAACATCAAGGTTCTGTTATTCTTCCTGGAACTAGACCATCACAACAAAATTTACACCAAAAATGGTTCGAATAGAAACCCTTTACATAAAATATATTTTTGCCTTAAAACAGGTCTGTATATATGATGTATAACAATAGAAATTTTTAGAAAAAATAACTCGATTTTCCAGTCATTCAGAAGCATATTTCATTCAAAAGGAAGTCAGTTATAAACCCACCCTTTAGTTGTAATGTAAATCCTAACATGATACATGCTATCCAGATTACATCACCAAAGAAGTGTGTGTGTGTTTCTGCTTCTGTGTGTGTGTGTGTTCAATGCAATTAAATTTGAACTACTGAAATATTAAAGAGCTGGCTAGTGCATGCAAGAACAATCCTCAGGAGTGATGATTCTTCCTCAATTAAATGGAAACATTTTCCTTGCCTTTGGACATTATATGTAAAAAGCATGTAAAATTCCAAGTGAGGAAGAAAACTGTAGTTCTTCACCAGAAAAAAATTACCTTTTAGACAAGGTTTTATAAGAAAGGAATAAACCCAATTATATAGATGTTATTCTCCACAGCATGAAACTTCAGAGGGTAAAATCTTCAGTTGTTTGCTCAATTTGTAACTCAAATTGTAAAACTGCTTATCCTACAAAGCTTTAACTCTTATAATACAGTGTATATTAGGGGTTTTTTGGCCACCCTATCACTACTGCTTCTTGGCTGATCCAACAGCAGCAGTAGTTAGAGTAAATGAACTTCAAGAGTTGTGAAAATATACATGGCAATAACCCAGCTGAGACAAAGTGCCCTTTGAACAGTCTCTAAATGACACTGATGAATGTTAAGAGGCAGCTTTGACTAAGCTCAGGAATGTTCAGGTGTAGTGCCTTGTGCATTCACAACCTGATTTTCTGCCACAAGCTTCCCTGAGAAGATGAACCCCTATAAATTGAGCAGCAGCCAACACAAAGAAATCAGTGCAGACTTGTTACATATATAATTTAACATAGGTAGTGAAGAAAATGAGTATTGCTAACAACTACACACTTTGTCACCCTATGGGGCCTTAGAAATGGGATACAATGAGCACAAAAGACGGGCTTGAATTTTGCGCGCCCCTGCCCACAATATTGAATGCAAGAGGATTTGGCTTGAAAATATTTATGCAATAAATACTGTATATGTAGGATGCTCACATTGTCCCACAAGCTCTGAGTTACTGGCAGTGACCAGAGGTAAAAGAATGTATGCAAGAGATCCTTCAGAAATTCGCCATGAAAAATAATGTTGATAGGCCAACTGTGAAAAGAGGAGGAGAGAGGTTAAAAAAACCACTTTTCTGGAACTATCCTACTATGAAGACTGAAAAACAGTGCAGACACAGCTGTTCCCCATAACTTAGACCAGATTCAATTTATTTCTCAATATTCACGGTTTTAGAAGTGAAACCAACCTAGCTACTCTCTAAAATTCCAACCCCTTAATGAAAATGGATAAATAAAAAATCTGTTATGGAATATGAAGATGAACTTCAGTCATGGAACACAACACAGAGCATATTGATGTCTTGTATTCAACAGGAACTGTATTTAAATGTGATCCTCCACTGATTCCATATTAACAAGCAAAAGTGAAGTTATTTACAAACAGTGATATAAGAAAAGGAGTTGTGAAATCTGGATCATTTTTGTTCAATTTTCTCATAAGAAACTCAAATCCTGCTGTGTACATAACACACCATCCAACATGATGGTTGGACGGGCATTTAGTTTATGTTATTATGTGTGCTTTAAAAGTAAAAGATGAAAAAGCAAACGAATTTTAATTTTGTTTCAATTGATGTAAACTTCAATGACCAACTGATATGTAAGGGAAATAATGTCCTAGTGCCTAAGTGCTTCCCACATTTATAGGGTCAGAAATAACAATAAACCAAATCAAAGACATTTCCGTTGTTGGGATTTGAATCAGGCCCAGCCTACGTCACCAGAGATTCTACAAAGTCTTTGCCAAACCCACAAAGGACTGGAGTAATTCCATAGCTCCATTCGGACATTTCTGAGGTTAGGCGATGGCTCTCTATCTGCTGGATATCACTAGAGTGACTTGTCACAGTGGCTTTCACAATAACTAAAGCAGCAATAAAGACACCAAACTAATTGACATTGCAGTGCTCAAAATTATGTTATCTGTAGTTCTATTACTTATGACTAAGATTATGTACATTCTCACAGTATTTGCCTAGTTTACTTACAGCTAAGCTCCCTGAACTTTTCATGACTCAGTTGCACAAAGCACTACTGTGGGTACAAGGGAAGGAATGGGAGAAAATAGCTTGTGGAAAAAAGGGTAGAACGGTACTGCAACAGCCCCAGCTTATATTGATTTTATTCTGTTAGTGAACAGACACAAAAAACAAACCAGCAGAAATAAACCGGGAAGAGTAGCCTTTTAGAGAATAATTTTGTTCTCATGTATATCATCTCAGTTTAGTAAATCCACAAAGCCAGAAGATGAGGCATAGAAATAGAGTGCCTGATTCTATTCTTGCTTATTTTGGTAGAAGCAGGAGTTAAACTAGAATAAAAGGTGTTAGAGCCCTTTTGACGTGTTTGCAGCCTGCACAGCAGCGCTGTATAGAGATCCCTGAGCTGGCTCCAAGCAGACTGGCATGTCCACAGTGTACTAGTGCCCTGAATGGTTTCTGCCAAAGTGTAATCATATCCCCTTAGCCTTTCAGCTTAGACTTGTACAAAGGCATTATTATTGCAATACAGAAAGTACCTTACCTGACAGGGTCTTGGAGCCAATTTGTTTTTTTCATGTTGACGACTGAGAGTCAGGGACCTGGCTTTCCTGGTCATCTCCCTTTTCCAACTGATGAACCTTCAGTTTAGAGCAGAAATCCTTCTTTTTAGTCCCTAAGGGGAAAATAAGGAAAGAATTGATACTCCTTAACTCTAAATAATCTCAGAGCTGGTACACAGTCTCAAGTCATTCTCTAGCCACCTCTACAGCCAGTTACCCTTTTGGCAAAGTGTGCCATTCATTCTAAGGGACATTGTCGTGGACATCTTCTTCTATCAGTGCCTATTTTGACAATCTACTTTAGACTAGACCCTCAGCTCAGACTGGCCGTCTTTGGAGATTAGATAAATATAATCTTTCTTATCATGGTGCTTCCTGTGATAAAAATGGAATATACCAAAATGAAATGATTCAATACTTCCTTGAGAACACTGGAGGGAGCTCACAGAAAGAGACAGGAAAAAAAGAGAAAAGGTGGCAAGACAAGTTGCTCCAGTTATCTGAAAAGTTCCATGAATATTTGCACTTATAGATTGTGTTTCATTTTGATACATGTAGAAAGTGTAGGAAAGAGGTATTTTTGTTTATATTAAATTCTGGTGATTTTTCTCTGTATTTGTTTCCTGACATCATTGTAACTTTCTATTTTGAACACATTTACTTAGAAAACATGCTTAACAGGCCTTTTCTTTTTCATTTAAATTGATGTTTATTTGAATTCTCTTGTTTCTGTTCACTTGGCTTCATGCTCTGCAGTCTGATATTTAATCTAAAATGAGGGAGAGGGACTTTGGCAAACTGTAGTTATACATCCCCTAGGAAAATACCATCATCTTCAGTGAACACAACATAATGAGAAGGTGTCCTATTACATAATTGAGGAGGCATTGTCTTTTATATGCATTCTGGTTCATTTTTCACACTAAATTAATCTTAATAAGCATCTGCTTTGAGTAAAGAGAGTTTTGTGATATTTCAACCATGACCTCTCTGGAAGTCCAAATGATTTTACTTTATGTTTCAGACTGGAGTATTCTTTTGAAACATTTCCCTTTACTATATGATAACAGTATGTTAACATGAGCTGATTAATCCCATCAGTCTAACACTGGTACCATGGCTTTTATGCCCTTTCCCTAGTAAACTTATGGCTGCAAACACACTGGCTTCTTAAATGAAGTCAGGGCAATCCTGCAGATTATGGAGGTCAAATTTGATGATCACAGTGGTCCCCTCTGGCATATAATCTATGAATCTGTAATTCAAACTGGAAGAAGTACAAATAACTGTACAATAGCATTAACTGAAGAAATAAAACTAGCTTCTTTTAAGACAGCGTTTGATATATTTATGAAAAAGATTATATGAACTGGTTGCCTGCAATAGCTGAAGCAAGGATTTGGTGGCCCTGCAGTCACTTCCAGAACTATTTTACTGTGTTTCCATTGCTCATCATCTTGCTCTCATTTTTAATACTTGTTTTAAAACAGTTTTTGATACAGTTACTAGGATAACAAATTAAAGATGGATTTTAGCTTTTTAAAGAAAGGCTCTCTTTCATTTCAGATGACAGACTGAATTGAGGCTTATGAATAATGCTTGTGTTGACCTGCCAGAATATGTCTTTGCAGCAATGAATTCTCAAATACCCAGGCTGAGCTTATTCATTTTGAAGTCAATGGGAGGGTAGGCAATACAGCCCAGTGCTGAATCAGGCTGAATTTTAGCGTAACAGTGATCATATACTGTGTTTCTTTAAAAAATAAGAAAATACTTTGCAAAGGCCATATTTCATTTTCTGTGTAGGACTTTTACTATGGAGTTTATCTGCTCAAAATTCTACTCCCATATGGCATGTGCTAAAGAAAATGTTCCAAATACGTTGCAAAGTTCCAGAGTTACAGTTCTTTCTTGTCCTAGTAGTTTGTAAGGTTTGACAGAGTTGAAGCTCAGGGAAGACCTGGACTGAATGAATATGGGAAATGGAGACATTTCCAAGAAAAGTAGGAAGTGGGTTTGGTAATTTATTCAGTAACACACTAAGGATCTGGTCCAATTAAAACAATGGGTAAAATTTACACTGGCTCAGAGGAAATAAACACAATACATTTCAAAAGCAAGCTTCTTACTTGCTCTGGAGATACATCTCAGATGAAACTAAAGGAGATTCACATTCCCTTTTGTCATTACCCATTTCATGGCAGTTTTTAACAGGATTGAGATTGGGAAAAGGGTTGTACACCATCATACATGTCTTGGCTAAATTTAATTTGCAGTAACTATTTTAACTACCTTCATTTCTTCCTGTGGTTTCCATTCTTTATAGTGTTGCTAGATTTTACTACCTCTGCTGCATTTTCCTCAAGACCTACTTGTCTTCCACTGACAGGTGACTAGCTCCTGGTATGTTTTGCTGCCTCGTGGAAGGATTTATGGAATTTTGTAGGCATTTGTGAGCACTTAAAGCTGCTCAATTGCAAAAGAGCTTGGAGATGCTGGTTTAAATTCATAATCACTGGAAATATAAATATGTAAACCAAAAGCTTAAAGCAAGAGCACGCTTAGTCTACATTCTTTTTCCTCCTCTTCTCTCACTCTAAGAAGAAGTTAAAGTTTTGTTTTATTAAAGGTTAATATTTTTTGTATTGTTTCTATTTCTTTGTCTGCTTATTGGCAAAGCACCAGCAGATTGCTTACACAGAACAAGAAGCAAACGCACACAGCCTCAGGATGCAGTTACACCATCTCTTAAGGTAATGTAAGTTCAGGCTGGTGCTGAAAGACCCATCCTGCCTGTTGCCTGCCCTGGCAGCCTGTGCCCATGTGCTGTCATTACCACTTGTGTGGCTGCCCAGTCAAGCAGATCGCCTTGCGTTTTCTGGAGGCTTATATTTCCATCAGATTGGCTTGCTCATGACCATGAGTGCCAGCATATTTAATGCATCAAGAGTGCATAACCAGAGGCAACTTGGAGGTTAGGACTCCCTTTTCCAGTAATGATCCTAAGTAAGAGTGGCATAAACTGATAAAGAAACCATGCCTGTGGTTTTTAAAGATTACTAGTGATTATGGCTGCGTCTGTTTCTGGATATGTAATTTAAGTTATTTTTTAGAACATGTGAAATTAAAAATCCTTTGATAACCAGATACCTTTAAGGTTCTCAAATAGAGCTTACACAAAAAAAAAAAAAAAATTCTGAAAATCTTAGCTATAATTCTCTTTCTTAGGGCTTTATATCTACAGAAATCTTTCAGAGATGGATTATTTTGTTGTTACGTCTTCAGAGTTGAACATCAAACCCCTCATCTTTATGAGATGCAATAGTACAAATATGGGATAAAAAAATAACAGTAAATTCATATTCTGAGGTTAGTATCAACTGAGTGGATTTCAGAGATACATTAAAAGTTCCATTTGAATTTTTTTTAAAAAAAAAAGTTAGCAAATTCCTTGCAGTTTATCATATCGTGTAGATTTTAACACCTCTACCTACAGTCCAAACTTTGAATCAAGATTACTTGAGTGGGTATCAGCTATCATACATCACCAAACCCATTTATTCAATTCATTGTCCCCTTTCCTTTCCAACCCATAGTTGCTTGCAACATACATGCTTAAACTTGCAACTGTAATTCATATGTCAACACATTTCCATTAGCTGATCACGAATTATCAACTTCAGTTCTAGAAGTCTGACCACAGGTAAGTTTTCCCTTTGTCCAGCTCAGATGGAGATTTTGAATGTGATTATAAGTGATAAGGTATGTAACGATAGCAATGTTTTGTGCTTGAAAGGGCATTTTTAGACTTCCATGCTTGTGAATACATTTGTGTAGAACTAAATTACTATGAAACTATGGTGTGCATATAGTCCAATGCATATGCATATGGGGTTATTCAGAGATTTTAAAAAACTTGTTTAGCAACCTTATTGCTTAACAAGTAACTGGAACAACATGAACTATAAATTTGTAAGTTAAGATGGTTTTAAAGGAATAATACCTGTAGAAGAAATACAACTGTGGATTAGAATTTGACTTGGAGAAGAATAGTATGAGCAGGGTGGTCTTTCCCAGCTGATCCCCCAGGTAGGAAGTAAAGTGAAGTGCCTCCACACGCAGCTCAAAATCACTTCCCAAAAGTTCTGATGTAGCATTGTTGGAGAAGTCCGGTTCTCTGGGCTGCTTTTGGTACAGAGATGAAGAGGCTATAGGCCTGAAGGAAATAAGCCCACAGCCTCAATGCATGGAAAACTCTTGTGTTATTCACAGGCTGCACTGAGGGAACTCGGCAGAGCTGTGTTAGTTTGACTGCCACAAGACTGGGAGCACAGTGCCAGCAGACAGTCATATGTGTTTTCAGCTCTGTGAATTCAGGAACCTTAGGTAACCTGTGTGATCACTGGCAACTCATGAGCACTGGTGGATGTGTGCCTCTGAAGCCCACTTATTAATTCAGCAAAGCATTTTCTTTCTCATGTTCTTTACAAAAAGAAATAAACTAACTCCTTATTATGAATTCAGTTTCAAATAATGTCGGGCTAATTACTGCTATTAATTATAGCAGAGAGCTTGAAGACATAGGTTTCTATATGAGCATGCAGCAAGTATTGCTAGACATCACTTACTGGCGAATGCTGCCTCAAAACAAAAGTCCACTTCCAATAGAAACATCTCTAAAATGCTTCTGTTGGCATATCTGCTATAATCATACATTAGTTACAAAAAAAAAGCTCTCTTTTCTACCCTTTCATATCCAAAAGATTGCACTTTTCTCACTGACTTAAAGACAGGAAGCAAGGCAGATGCAAAGCTGGTAAAAAAATGAAAATATGATTGTTTTTATCTGAAAGATACCTCTTTCTGTAGTTTTTTAGAAAGCAGCAATAATCTTGCTTTTAATTTCAAAGGGTTGGTTTGCTTTTATGAAATTTTCTGTTTGTCATTTGGTTTATTGCAATAATTCCTTGTTTGCATGACAGGTTTTACAAGCAAAATGGTTGGCTACAAAATAATAAAACCTGACAGCTTCTTATTAAAACAGTGTCAAATCTTTAACCCACTTGTTCAGCTTTTTCACCACCTTTCACTAAAAATGTGAATACAGCTTTGCCCCAAAATAGTTTTACGTTTTTAAATCCAAATGTCTAAACATGTTAACCTATCCATTTATATGTATTCATATATTTCATTTACACTTTGAAATCAAATCGGTGTAATCCTATGGATTCCCAGCCTTATTGAGATGATTTCGAAGCAATGTCCGTGGTCAGCTCTTGTCAAAATTTTGCTAAATTGTTAAAGGATTGTTAAATCAAAACAACCCTTTTATAAGGAGACACTCATATTAGCCCAAACATGGTCATAGCCTATTTGTTCACACTTGACTGAATTTATGACCGCTTAGCTATTTTAAAACGAAAATGTCCTTATGATAATATAACTGCATCCAGACGAAAGAATTATAGCAATTTCATTTGTCTCTTCTTTTTTGTTTGTTTGGTTTTTTGTTGCTGCTTTTTTACAAATCATTGATTTGGTCAAATTGTTGGGTGCAAAAATCGAGTGTAGATCAGGCCTCAGATCGTGCTCTTATTAGCAAACCAAACACTGGTTTTGTTTTTGTTGCTGACGTTGTTTGTTTTCATTGCTGTCTGAATGAGCCTTTTATGGTCTCTGGCTCTGCCTGACTGACTGCACTCGATTGTATTTAATTACATTTACTCAGTAGTTTTAGCCGGGATCCCCGGCCTTTACCTATCAAGTCCAATAGCTATTATTTAAATCCAATGACTCAGAATCAGAGAATTTATCTTTTACACAGTTATTGCCTAAACATCCAGCATAAACATGCAGAGGTCTGGAGGACTTGTTCTGACTGTGCTGATTAAAGGCAAAGAGCAAGATGGATGGAGTCAGTTGTGATCAGCAGGCTACAGCGTCCTGCTGTGCTCCAGTCTCTGCCATTGTGCTGGGCTCTGGGTACCAGACTTGCCATGGTCCTCTCAGGTCTAAAAGGAAAGCTGGCTTTGTTTGCCTGTAAGCATCTGCAAACTGTTCTGACACATGATCTACCCTCTCAGCAAGGCCACTCATTAGGCTGATTATCACTTCAAAGTTTGTATTATCATCCATCTCTAAAGGCAATTAGGAATGGGTGGCTTTGAGTATCAGACACTGGGTGACACTAAGTGACTCATCTTTATTGATTCTTTTGTGAGCAGAGACAGTGATTGAGATGATAGGATTGCAGCCTACCTGCCCCTTTGACTGGTAAATACTGAAGAAAAACGGTGTGTAATTAACTGACAGTTAATATAGGTTCTGTTTAGTGTTCAGAAAGCACAATAGTGGAAGCTGCCCAAAAGGAACAAAGTAATGAAACTCCTTTGACAAGTTAAACTCTAAAGCCAACTGTGTAATTATCTGACAGTTAAAGGGGGGAGGGGAGGGCCGGGTTCAGTATTTATGAGACCAAAGGAATTCCTGCGCCTGAACAATGGGGACAGATACTGACAATAATCATAACAGCTACACAAAATATTTGTTTGTGCAAGTCTGCCTTTCAAGTGAATAATGATCGGTTTAGGGGTCAGAGGAAGCTTTGCCATTTCGTACCGCCGGTGCTCCAGCTTCCCGGGGCCGGGGCCGGTGCGCGGGGCTGGGAATGGGGCTGGGAATGGGGCGGGAGCTGGGGTTGGGGCTGGGGCCGGGGCCGGGGCTGGAGCTTCATCTGAACCTGGGATTGGGGCCGGGACCGGGGCCGAGATTGAGGCTGCAGCTGGGGCTGAGGCCGGGACTGGGGCTGAGGCTGCTGCTGGAGCTGGAACTTGGGCTGAGGCTGGGGCTGGGGCTGGAGCTGGGGCTGGAGCTGGGACTGGAACTGGGGCTGGGACTGGAACTGGAGCTGGGACTGGAACTGGGGCTGGGACTGGAGCTGGGACTGGAACTGGGGCTGGGGCTGGAACTGGGGCTGGGACTGGGGCTGGGGCTGGAACTGGGGCTGGGGCTGGGGCTGGAACTGGGGCTGGAGCTGGGCTCAGCGCTGCCGAGGCAGCAGCGGGACGTAAATCAGATTAACGAAGCTGCCGTTGAGAAAGCCAGACTGGCACGAAAGGGCCACAGTCTGGTCTGCACGAAGAAATTTATTGGCACGAAAACTTGATCCACCCTGGCTGGTATTCGTATGTAGCGTTGTAACACTCACAAACTCTTCACTTTTCCAGCACAGTTATAACTATTCCTTTTTACTCAAGCTTTTTGTCAGATCAAGTCAATTAACACCGAGGCAATTTAGGATCACAGTTACTGGTCCTCTGCTGCAACATGATAAACTATTCTCCACGATTACACTCTCCCACGATGCAATATTCCCTGTAGGAGTAGCCTGCCTGGCAGCATTTTGAAATTTTATGCATGAGGGTCACAGTAAACAAGGAAGAAAAAGTAAAATTCATGTTCAAATGTGACACATACTGTTCTGGAAAAGGATATATTCTGTCATTTTCCTCTTGGAGGCGTTAAGGGCGACTTTTAAAGTTCACAAAGAGGGAGTTCTGTTATTGAAATGAGCTCTCTGGTAGGTATTGAAGTCCTAAAGAGACCATCAGGGTTTGCTATTGGAAATACCAGACTACTATCATGGAATGTCAGAGTAGGTCCTTTCAGAGTCTTTAGGGTGGTGTGGTTTTTTGACTGAGGGCTGTTTAATATTACTTGTGATTTCATCACCCTGGGAGTATGGGGGCTTCTTTTTTACTCAGACTAAGTCTAAGAATGTCTCCATGAGATGGGCAAAAACAGGAAACATGACAGCCCTATAGATTTTAAAAAGTGTATGCGTATACAGCTGTATATGGGAGGAAAGACAGCTCAATGGAGGATTCAATTAAATGGAGTGATTTAATCATAAAGCAATATCAGTATCTTGTGGCAGTGGGAGACCAGCAAAACTACATGGACAGAGGCATGGACAGATTATCTACTTTTGTCAATATGGTAAATAATTAACGGAATATGGTATGGCCAGAAAATCTCTAGATGTGTCAGCAGAGGACTAGGCAAACACAAGGAAAATATTGGAACTGTACATAGTCTTTCTGAAACTGCTGCAGAAGGAGAATATTGTACCAAGTTTAGATACTCGTTCTGCCAAAGGAAAATACTGGCAAGGTAGAAGTACAGGAAACAGCTATAAAGATCTGTGTGAAAGACTAAAAATCCTAATCTATTTAATTTCTCTAAAAGAAGTTTAAGACCATTCAAAATCATCCATTTAGTTGTGAGATTTTAATCTATCGGACAAATACTTAACAAGGATCAACATCTAGAAACTGAAACTGGCAAATTCAGAATAAAAATAGATCATACATTTTAGAAAATGTGCCACTGAAGGAGATTACACAAGATTACATGAGGGTGTTTTGCCTTGAATTTTTTTAAATTGACAAGTCTGTCTTAATTAAGAAATAGGCTGGAAGGAATTGAAGAAGGATGCCACAATAAAATTTTCCAGCTTGTAGAATGAAGGGGCATTAACTAGGTAACTGTATTTTCCCCTCTGCTTTTATATCTGTGAGAGGGTGAAGTAAAGAGCTGAGGAGAGAGTGGGAAGTGGGAAACATGCATATACTAGCAGCTTGCACATGCTGCTGGAGCACAACAGATCTCCAGAATCCTGGCCCTGATGCTGTTGACCTGCTGTGCCTTTGGCAAGTCATGGTATCTTGCCAGGTTTTTAATACCCCAGGCATCCTTTGATTATCTTATCTACTTGAAATGAAGTCATAAGATAGTGTTGCTTCTGAAAAAAACAGAGCCCAACTCTCACATTCAGGTATTATTGCAGTACAGAAACAGGACAATGAGAGAGGACTTTTACACGGTTAGTGTCTCAGTTCCAAATCACATCCCAGTCAGGCTGTCGAGTCTTCTTGCAAGAAATGGAGGATCAGTTTCAGACTTGGACTCATACAACAGTTAAAATTAATCACCATAAGAAATACAGGGTATAACAGAAAGAAGTAGCAGGCACTGGAAGAACTGTCAGCAGACAGTGTGACAAAGGAAGCGAACTATGTTAGTTTTGTGTTAGCTTCTTTTATTCTTCCGAATGCATTTTCTTATGTTACAATAAAAAGAGACATTTCAAATTCACATGATATAAAGAATTTCCTTTCGACGTGCTCTTATAGCTGCCCTTTTCCACAAAGTACACAGAAAAGTCAGACAAGAGGAAGAGAAAGCTTCAAGCATGATGTTTGCTAATTCATTTTGACCTTCACTACTCATTTGTAAGTGCATTCTACTTTGTCTCTCACTTTTACCTTCTTTCCAAT